CCTACCTTTGGATAAAAACTCCAAAGTGATTCCGAGCAAGTGGAGCTAGATGTTCATAGTAGCGTTGGCGATGGAAATATAGTATCTAGGCCTGTTTATTAGCCTGAGATAGAATTTTGGGTTTTGTTTGCCCGTTTGACTTTAGATATTCTTATATCCTTACGAACGTGTGACCAAAGACAGTGTGTGTTGCATCTGCCCACAGCCAGCTGGGGTTTATAGCACAACGAGAAAAGATAAGGAATAGAGTTAAAGCGTTGCTGGGTAGGGTGGGAGTTAAATATATGAACGTACACTTGAAGGCTGCCCAACTCCTCTCCCAAGCCAAGGTCAAGCAACCAGGCGGGAGGGGTGAGGGAGTAGGTATAAGAAACATAAAAGCCAAAGAAATGGTGATCCTGCCTGAAACACAATGTCACTCCCTACCCCTCCCATGGGGTACAAAAGAGGTGGGACCAAAGCCCCCAGACTCAAGACCCTCCAAAATGGAATATGACCATAAATTGTAAGGGGTGGTACCAGGGGTGAGCACTACAGGTATAATTAAGCCTACTAAAAAGGAGAAGGGGGGGGGAAACAGGAGAGCTCTACTGGTGTAAAGAGCTGGGATATGCTTGCTCGTTCACCCCAATAAACATCACATTGCCTGCGCTTTGGACTCTGGTCTTCTGCTTTCTGGCTGCGTGACAAGAACCAAGGGAGGGCAGGGGAGCCGTAACAACCAAATGCAGCTGTGGCCTGACTTTCTGAGATGCTGAGCACCCATAGCGTCATTGATTTCAATGGGAATTGTGGATACTTAGCACTTCTGAAAATCAGTCATATGGAGTGTGTCCACACTGCACTGAACCTCAGAGCCCAGGTCACAGGACTGGGGCTGTGAAGCTAAAAACTGCAGTGTAGACATTCAGGCTTGGGCTGGAGCCTGGGCTCTGAGACCCTCTGCCTCACAGGGTTTCTGAGCCCAGACTCCAGCCCGAACGTCTATACGGCTATTTTTAGCCCCGTGAGCTCAAGTCAGCTGGCCTGGGCCAGCCACAGCCATGTCATGGACATTTTATTGCAGTGACGATGAACCCTTAATGGCTGGTCTACATATGAAATTGGCACGTTTAACTAAAATCAGGTTTTAAATCAATTTAATTAAGCCAATGCAAACTCCCAGGTGGACATACTCAAATCAGTTTACAACTGGTTTATATCAATAACCAATCATTATCCACCGATTTGGTCATTTAAGCAAAACTGATATACGCCAATTGTGAACAAACAGAAGTATGTCCACATAGGAGTTTGCACCAATTTAACTGAATTGATTTTGAAACTTATTTTAGTTAAACTGGTGTAAATTTTGTGTTTAAATGTGGCTTAAGTCTGAGCCTGGTGAAGAACAATCCCTTGTAAATTGGCTAGAACAAAGCGGTTTTCAATCTTTTTTTCATTTGCGCACCCCTAAAAAATGTTGAATGGAGGTACCAGACCCCTTTCGAAATATTAGACATAGTCTGAGGACCCCTATGGGTCTGTGGACCACAGGTTGAAAACCACTGGGTTGAAAGAAAGAAAGAAAGGGAGAAGGCTGTATAGGTCAGGCTGTTGTAGTTAAGACATTTCAAAGAGCTTATTTCAGGTCTTTTCTACTAACCCAATAGCATTTGATAAGGCTTGTGTTCTGACCAAAGCAGAATCACACTCCAGTGATTTGGTCTGAGCACAATGGGAGATTATTTGCAAAGAAGCATCTTGTCCACAGAAAAACTATAAGTGAAGCAGAAGTTATTATATTTAATAATGACAATTAAATAAAACTAAACAGAACAGCCCAGACTTTGTCACAGAGCGAAGAAACTTCAAATTAAGCCAAAAGAAACCACCCTTCGCGGACAGCAGTCTTTCCATAGGTTCTTTTTACAAGAGACAGTATTGCAGGTGTTTCAACTTTAACGTCCGAAGAGAACAGCACAAGAGATAAAGCATGGGTTATCCTGGACCCTGGGGAGAAACCTCAGTCTGCCAACGGGTAAATCCCTTTTTGTGCAATACTGAACTATTGAATTTTTTTAAAATTTAGTATTTTACTAAAAGGGAATATGGCAAACACTGCAACTGCTCAAAATTGTAAAAAATGAACTCGAGTCCACAATCCTGCAAACACAAAGGCACATGCTTAATGTTATGGTATTTTGAAACAGGGTGGTCCTCCCCTGTAAGGACCCGCAGGCCTGGGGCCAGCCTGGTCTGTTCAGTCAGCCCACCTGTGCCATAATTAGCCGCATCTTAGAGAGAGAGTCAGGTGACTAATGGAGTCAGGTGACAGCCTGTTAAGCACCCAGCCTCATACTAGGGCTGAGAAGGTTCACTTTGCAGTAGGAACGACAGACCGTGACAGTTTCCTGAAGAAGGGCCTAAAGAGACTTCAGGAAAAGAGTCTGGGCTCTATTCCAAAGCCAGAGAGTGACTTAAAGGTAACCTAGAAGAGGCTGGGAACCGAGCCTGGAGGGTGGGCTGAAGAGGAGCCGAACTCCTGTAAGACTTTCCTTGCTGAGGGGTGAAAACATTATCTACTAGCTGGTGGGCAAAGTTGTGGGCAGAAACAGGCCTTTGGAGGGCCCAAGAAGCACCTAGGGGGTGCTAGATGCAAAGACCCCTGCAATGCCATGCCCTAATGCTAGGGGTGGTGCGGTGAGTGAAACGACTTAGAGGGCTATGGGTATGTTAAAAGTTAAGCTTGTGCCTAAAGTGTTGGCAGCATCAGTGCCTTAGGGAGCCTAGCTTTACCTCACAGCAGGCTCCCAGTTTCACAGCTGTCGGGTGCATTTCCAAGGCAAGCATATAGACTGAGGCCTCTAACCCAGTACAACAGCATGGGTGTATCTAAGGAAGGTAGACTGAGCCTTCAGTAAAAGTACAGCCTGAGGGTTTTGCTGTTAAGAAATCCCCTGGGTATGACATGACCAGTTCCACTGGCTCAGTTTGAATCATGTGACTAGTGAGAAGTACACTGATGGCAGGACTCTGTACAAGTCGGAGCCAGTCTGTCACATACAGGGCATTTGACCAACTCCGGCCCTCATGGATGAGTAAGGTTTTGGCACCCAGCTGTGAGTAGCTGAATAACCTTTGAACAAAGGAACTTCTGTTAAATGGATGAACTTTTACTGATATCCAGGAAAGAAGCAGGTGTGATGCAATACTGGCCTAGAGAACTCTGTGACCAATGTGTAACCTCCCCAGGAGATTACCTAGATTCCTGGAGCTCTGTCTGCTGGCAGCTCAGGGAGGAGGAGCCAAGGCAAACTCAGAGTCTGCCCCGCAACCCATAGGGAGTGAGATGCCCCTGCCAGGGAGTTCAGGAGAGGGGAGAAGCCATTTTGGAGAGTGGGGAGCTGGTGAGTCCCAGGCCTGCAAGCAGGGCTCTCCCTGAGAACTGGCCTCTAGGGACCTGACAGCCGATCCCTCACCTGGGTTTTCCTTCCCCACGGATGAGTCCCAATTGGTAGCATTTGCTGAGAAATTTCCCCAGCCAGGCTGGGTTCACCCCCAGCTCCCTAGCTAAGACTAGTCACCACATGGTCAGCTCTGCTAGTCCAGGGAAGCTGCCTACGGAGTGTGTGACTGGAGGCTGGGCTAGGAGGCTACAGTTTGGATGTTAGGGTAGTTGTATAACCTACACCTTGAGCCCTACACCCCTTCGTGGTGAGGGGAAATCCTGGGACCGCCGCAGCCTGATTCCTGCTTGAGGAGGATCCCTGACAGCAGACAGCAGCCCCTCTGCAGTGACTGAAGAGTCCAGCGTCATCTTCCAACCTGAAGATCGTTCATGGAGTTCGTGAGTGCACCGTTTTTTAGTTAAGGAATTTGTTTTGGGGACCCCCTACTCCCTGAACTGTGTCCTCAAGCCAGGGAGTGAGGGTTTGAGGATTTTATAACCTGCTGCTTATTATACCTGTGGAGGGATTCACCACCTCCTCCCACTTGTGGGACTTTTGGGCTGTACTGAACCCACTCAGCCACACTGCTAAACCACTGCAGAGAATTGTATAGGTCGTCAAGGGCCCCAGCAAAGTACACATACCAACAGGACACTAGTTTTACACTTGTTACATCAAGTCACGGGTGTTTTCAGTGTAGGCACCGGTGACCCTAAAAGTAGTGTTTCACCCTGTTATTGTTGTATTTGTTGCCTGTTTAATATAATTATTGTGTTGAATATATTTTTGTGTGTTGTGTTATTTCTTGGAAGTCTCCAACTATCTGGCAAGTAAGTGGGGATTACTCTGTAGTTAGAATTTTCTGCCCAAGCTGCCCTGGTGACCCTGCCAGGAAGGAGTGAGGGGGGTGGAGGCACCGCCAAATAATTTCATAGAAAACAAAAAAGATTCACCCTGCTGAGTGTGTGGCGGGATCCAAAAGAACCCAGACCTGTCCATCAAAACCTGGAAGCGGATTGCCATTAAAGGAGGTAACCAGGTGGAGAGGGGCGCTACAAATGTACGCTGGGCTAAACTAAAGCCTTCTTCAGCTAATGCAAGGTGTTATACTTAAGGGTACTTAACATAAGTGAACAGGATTATAGAATTCAGGCCGAGTAATTGCTAGAAATGTGTGTGATTTTTATTTATTTTTATATCATTTCATATGAAATTCATATATTCATTTTTTATATATATAAGCACACAATTAGAATATATATATATATGTGTGTGTATATGTGTGTGTGTGTGTGTGTATATATATATATATATATATATGTGTGTATATATATACTATATATATATATATATAGTATATATATACA